GTGAAGAACCAAAAAAAAAAAAAAAAAAAATCTAGAAGAAAACCTAGAAAACTTTTTCTGGACATGGGCCTAGGCAAAGCTTTTATGACTAAGATCACAAAAGCAAATGCAACAAAGACAAAAATAAATAAATGAAACCCAGGTAAATTTAAAAGCTTCTGCACAGCAAAAGAAATAATCATCAGAGTAAACAGAAACCTACAGAATGGAAGAAAATATCTGCAAATGATGCATTTGACAAAGGACTAATATCCAGAATCTACAAGGAACTCAGAAAAAGGTAAACAATTCCACTAAAAAGTGGGGTAAAGAAAATATATAAGATACAAGCAGCCAACAAACGTATAAAAATGCTCACTATCACCAGTTATCAGAGAAATGCAAATTAAAACCGCAATAAGTTACTACCTCACCCAAGTCGGAATTACCATTGTTAAAAAGTAAAAAAACAATAGATGTTGGCATAGATGTGGTGAAAAGGGAACACTTATACACTGCTGGTGGAAATTCAAATTAGTATAACCTTTCTGGAAAACAGAATGGAGATTTCTCAAAGAACTATAAGTAGATCTATCATTTGATCCCACTACTGGGTATCTACCTAGAGGATAAGAAGTCATTATAACAAAAAGATTCATAATTGCAAAGATAAGGAATCAACTGATATGTGGATAAAGAAAATATATTGTGCATATATATATACACCCATGGAATACTCAGCCATAAAAAAGAATGAAATAATGTTTTTTGCAACAACTTGGATGAAACCGAAGGCTATGATCCTAAGTGAAATAACTCAGCAATGGAAAACTGATAGTGCATGTTCCAAGTGAGAGTTAAGCTATGGGTATGCAGAGGCATACAGAGTGGTGTAATGGAAATGGGAGACTCAAGGAAGAGAGGGAGGGTAAGGGTGGTTAAGGGAAGAAAAATTATCTGTTGGGTACAATGTAGGCTGCTCTGGTGATGGGAACATTAAAATCTCAGACTTCACCACTATATGATTCATCCATGAAACCGAAAACCACTTATATCCCTAAAGCTACTGAAATAAAAAATTAAAATTAAAAAAAGGACTAAGAAAAATACCTAATCTTTCACTTCCAGAGTTTTCCCCTTTGGTAAAATGAGCATACCAATACCTACTCTGAATAGTTTTGAGGAGCGTCATATGTTTGTAAATCCCTTATGGTAGTTTCTTGGTTTTAGTGATCACTCAGTAATGGGATCTATTAATGGTTTGAGGAAGAGAAGTAGCCAAAGGGATTTTGGTTTGCAAGAGGTCATTATGGAGGCCATAACTGGAAGCATGGATGGGAGTGGGAGGGATTGGGCAGGATGAGGCAAAGTGATTGAGTGTGGGCTCTGGGAGGCCAGTGAGGAGGCCAGAGCAGGAGTCTAGGCAAGAGATGAGGACCCAAACTAAGGCTGTGAAATGGAATGGGCAAAAGCAATAACTATTTAGGTGACACAATCAGCTGACTGACTAGCTGAATGTAGGAGGTGAGGGAAAGAGAGCTTTCTAGTTGCACGGCAGTTCAGCTATTCTGGATCTGTAATACAGAAGGAGGAAGGCTGAGGGAGTGGGGCTGAAGGATTGGCGGGGAGGGGAAAGGGAAAGAGAGAAAGAGAGCATATTGAGGAGCAGAACTTCTTAGAAAAACAAGAATGCTTCATTGCTCTGCAAGTGTGGGAGGCAGGAGGTAAGCAGTCTCCACATCCTGAACCAAGTCAACTTTAGAATCTCCAGGGAGTGTCCTGCACATGTGACTTCCCCCAAAGAGGCATTTACTGAAGGACTTCTTTCTAACTTGTGTCATGTGTAGTTGACTTTCTTTGTCTGCAGGACTCTCCCAGAGACCAGCTGCCTTGGTTTCAGTCCACCCACTTAACTTCCTCCACTGCAGTTTTCCACAGATCTTACTCAGCAACTTCAGGTCTAATCCTGAATTGTGTTTGAGTGCCACTGTTTTTAGTCTGTAGTTGCAGTTCATCTGTGAGGTCATTTCCTGATGTTCTACCCGGAAGTTCCAAGTGGTTTCCCACAGGTGGAAAGACACAACGACAAAGGGGAAAAAATTCCTGACTCTGGCTTCTCATTATAAAGGGGCAGCAATTGCTCCCATTTGGGGTTTGAGGGACAATCCAAGACTTGTCTCTACCACAGGGGGAGAACAAGGCAGCAGCTTATTCTTGGTGCCATCAGCACCGTACACAATGTTTGGACGCAACTGGTAGGTCATGAGGAAACAGTAAATGGAAGCCTTTTTCAGGTGCAAAACACTTAGGACAAATTCTTTACTGAGGGGGCGGGTAGAGAAGAGAATGCTGGAAGGCCTTAGCATTGAAAAGGAGTCAAGTGAAGATGACCAAGAAAAGGGAGGCTGCAGACATCCAGGATAAACTACATGGGCATAACAATGTTGCTTAATGTGGTCTTGGTTGACAGCATAGTGTAATGACAAGAGCTTGTGTTCTAGAATTAGACAATTCTAAATTCAATCCAGACTCTTTACTAAATTACATGAGCTTGGCTTAATCATTTTTCTTTTGGGGCCTTAGTTACCTTGCTATAAAGCATTGATAATACCTCCCCTACAAAGGCTCTTACTACAGTTTTAGAATAGACAGCAGGACTTAGGAGACTGGCAGTCAAAGGAGACTTTTCCCATTATAGGATATCATTCTATTTATGTATCTATCTATATATCTACCTACTTACCTACCTACCTACGGATCCAACCAACTCGTATTAGTTTCAGTAAAGTTTGAGGTTATATTACTGTTCTTGCTTTGGTAGTAGAATCCCCAGTACTCACTATGGTTACTAGCACATCGTAAGCGTTCAACAGATGTTTATTGGCTGGAAGAGTTACATTCATCTGTAATCTTTCTTTAAGAAATTAATTCTTTCTCCAGTCTTCCCTAAGTATATGTCACTACCATCAGCTCAGCTATTTATGTCAAAAGTCTTGATTCCTTGATTTATTGAGCACCTGCTAGGGTCTAGGCACCATGTGGGTTGCTAGAGCAGGGGAGGTAGGAAGAGTGTGATGAGCTCGATCCAACCACAGCTCTCAAGAATGTTAGAGAAAAGGGAAGAACTTGTCATTTGTTCAACTTTCCGCTCATCTTTAGGTATAACTCATAAGTGGGCCATTTGAGTGTGTTTTTACAACCCTTGGACAAACATATAGAAATATAATCCACAGCCATCTGAATGGAGAAAAGGCTGCTGTGAAATGGTTCCCTGGTCATTGGATGTGTGAATGCCATACTCTGGAATTCTCACTCTTTGTGAAAACTACGAAGGAATAATGCTTCTTTTAACTCCTACTAGACTTCTCCCACTCCAGTCAAGCCTGTGTAGATGACATAAATGCCCAGAATAAGAATTTGAAACGCACACAGAAAATGACTCTTGGCTAAATCTTTTGTGATGCTAACTTAGAGCTGAGTGAGTTAGCTTATTTCTATTGAGTGTGGGCTGTACTTTATATATATTTCTATTGAGTGTGGGCTGCACTTTATATATCTATGACTATATATAAAGAATCGTTTCAAAAAATTTGGTGACTCTTTGGCTTAACTGTGAGTCACAAGGCTCCCATTTTAGTGTGTGTGTGTGTGAGAACTTTGGGCATAAAGCATATATTAATATGTGCTTGTAAAGAAGTGCAATGTGTATGTAGAAAGTTTTATAGTTTTGTTAAAGCAAGCGGAGTGTAATGGAGGAGAAAGAGAAAGCGTGTATGTGTGTGCATGTGGTGCAGGCGGTGGGCAGGATTACATGAGGAGCCAACTTCTTAGCGACCTGGACAGTGATATAAGACATGAAGAAGTGTTGTAAGAGGTGATTGTTTTCCTTTCAGAATAGCACACAGGTCTTTGAGGAGCCCTTGACTTTCTCTTTCCTCCTTGTCTTGTTAAAAAAGGATTAGAGTCCAACTAAGCCTTTTAATCCCAAGGTAGAAATTCATGTTTAAAAACAAGATTTACGGCTTCTTAAAAAAAATACATCAGTGCAAGTTGGGTTTTGTCCTTTCAAGTTGTGACCTGCATGGTCCCAAAGAATGTTTTCAGCTGAGTACCCAACATGTGGCTCTTCTTAATTACTTCGCCTCATACCTCCACTCCTTCATCTTTTGAAGTACCCTTCAACCTAAATAGCCATATGCTGCTAGAAATACTTCAGCTTCTGGATTGCCATGACCAACTCTAGGCTTATCTCTCTTCAGTTGGCAATACAGTGACCAGGGTTAACAACAATAGTATTAAGAGCTAATGCTTACTGGATGCTAAGTATATGGCAGGTATCATGGTGCTAGGCAGTTTACATGCATTATCTTATCAGGTTCTCCATCTGGAAACACCCAGGACTAGCTTCACCAGTGTGTGACTTGCATAGCCACACAGGTTTAATGCTCTGCTGTTCTCATCTTGAAATTCTTGATCATTTTTGAGCAAAGGACTTGTATTTTCATTTTGCACTGGGTCCTATAAATGTAGGTAACCAGTCCTAAGAACATTCAATAAGCCATAGTTTCTTTTTGTTTCTTTTGCTTTCTTTCCATCTGATGCCTAATACATTGCCAGAGGTTGGGATAGTGAATCTTAAATTGTGATGCCAAAACACCCTTGAGAAAATAGGTGCTATCGTCTTCTCAGACGGAAGTTCTCTAAGGGACAGGAACCATGTCATGGCACTCAGCAAGGGAAAGAAAAGTATCTGTGAGAATTTGGAAAATGCTGTTTAACCCCCCTAAACCTCAGTTCCCCCATCTGTAAAATGGGGATAATAGTAATAACACCTAACTCGCAGGCTGTTCAAGGATGAAAGGAAATGTTTATACAACTGTGACATGCAATACGTACGGCATTAGTTACTATCAGGGCATTCTGGATGCCCAGCAAGTACTAAACATCAAATATTGCTTGTGACATGTATGAATCACTTGCCCAACTCCAAAGTGCCCTCGTCCCAGGAGTTTCTTCCCTACCTGCCCCACCGAGCTGGAGGGAATGTCTGCTTTCTCCATGGGCTGGGTGATCACAGAGGGGTTGCTGGAGCTGATGAGCACTGGGGTGCTGATCTCTACCATATGGCGCCCCGAAGGAGAATGGACCATCCGGTTGAGAGTGTTCAAGGCTGTTGTGATGGAAAACTGCCCAGGCCCCTTCCTCCTGGACCCGGGGCCCCTACGGAGGGTGGATGTGTTGCCTCTGGAGGACGAGGACACCAGGGACAGGTTTTTTGTGCGGGATGACTGGCGACCTTTGTTCTTTTCTAGAAGGTGTCTTGCGGTGAGGTTTGGCTGAAAAGACAAAAGGTCCAATGAGAAGTTTGTCTTCTTGATTTAATGTGAGTAGCCAGTTCCTACCCACGCCCATGTGAAGCCAGGTCAGATGCCACCTCCTCAATCACTGGCTCAGATGCTCATTCCTTGGTGAGCACAGTAACAGCTTCCATCTTTTATCAGTGCATCCTCATGATTTTGCTCTATCAATGCATTCTCACAACTTTCTGGCAAAGTATTACTCTTTTACTGAGGTCCAAAGGGGATAAAAATAAGCCATGATGCTCTTTCCTGACTGAGAGTATTCTGTTTTTACCCATTTTCCCCAGTCATATCCAGCTCTTTTCACCTAGTGGGCTTCCTTCCTCTTCCTTTAGCAATCCTGGAATCCCCTTGCCCTTCCTGGTGCTCCCAGCAGCCCCTGTGCTTCCCAGTCATTGCATTTTTCACTCCAAACCACAATCCTTTTCTTGCCTTTCCCCCACTAGTCTGTAGGCTCCCTGGGTTGCAGGGACCTTCTTTTTCTACGCACGATTCTCTCCTGTACCCTAGAGTAGATACTTAGTGTTTGTGGAATAATGAGTGAATGAAGTTGCTCAAATTTATACATTTGATGTGTTTGAGTCAGAATATAAGTGCATTCAGTACCCCAAATCCTTATTCTAAGACTGCCTTTTACCATTTCCTTTAAATATGTTCATGTAATCACCATTCTTCCTTGTTCTATATCTCTTGGCCAGTGATGTGTTGGCAAAAAAGCTGTCCAAAAAAAAAAATAGTAGCAAGCAACAAAGAAAACAAGTCCTAATTTGTGGAGTTTTCCAAGCCACCAATGGTTTAACACCTGGCTGGCAAAATTCCTGAAAATGTAACAACCAGCTCTTGTGATCTAGTTCCAGCCAGCTCCAGTACACCACTGTGTTATGTCTGTCTTCCCTACTATATTGGTCAATTCTCACAAGAAATATATAATAATATTTTGAGTACCCTACTCACTGAGGGTCCCTGTATGTTCATTTTCTTTGGAAATCTGAAAAATGTTGACAAACAAGGGTTAGTGCAATAACTTTAAAATTTTAGAATGATTACCTAAATTTCCATTTTTGTTATTGTTACCAGCTGCCCTCTAAAACCACATCTCATTCTAATGTAGAAATCCAACTATAGAGGTAAAGGAAATTTGCCCATTAAAGGACTTTTTAGTGACAATGTGCAGAGGATTAAAATAGCTGAGATAGAAAGTTTTATTGAATATGGTTTTTTTGAGGAATAAATAAATAAATTTCTTAAAAAGAAAATTTTAAAGATGTGTTTCTTGCCTCAAGAAGCATATAATATTGTGAAAACCTCATCAAGTAGGGGAATGAGTATTATTGTGTCTACTTTAAAGATAAGGCTGAGGCCTGGAAGGGATGACTTATAAATGACAGAGCCAGCATGTAAACAAGAAAACATCATATAATAAGTGCTCTGATGTGAAAGAGAGTGACTGGGGGAGGAAGCTACTGTAAATTAGGGGGTCGAGGAAGATCTGAGAAGGTGGCATTTAAGCTGAAGCAACAAATGTCAACAAGGAGCTAGCTACGTAAAAATGGAGGTTAGAACATGCCCAAAGAGGCACTATAAGCTAGTGTGGAAGTCCTAAAAAGGGAAAGGGCTCAGCTTGCTTGAGAGAAAGACAGAAGAAAGAAACAGAGAGAAGGCTGGAACAGAGAATACGACGAGAAGATGATAAAAGAGGTTGCAGAGACAGGCAGGGGCCAGATCACAAGAGTCAGGGAGGGTTCCATTTTATTCTATGTATAATAAGAAGTCTGGCAGGACTTAGGTGGAGGAGTGATATGATCTGATTTATGCCTTTAAAAGCTCATGCTACTGTTTGGCAGTTTCTTAGAAAGTTAAACACACATTTAGCATCTGACCCAGGAATTCCACTCCTGAGTAATTACCCAAGAGAAAGGAAAACTTGTGCCCACTCAAAAACCAGTATGAAAATGTTTATAGCAGCTTTACGCATAGTTGCCAACAGTTGGAAAACAACTCCAGTGTCTTTCAAGAGGTGAGTGAACAAACTCTGGCACATCTATATGATAGAATACTACTCAGCATCAAAAAGGAATGAACTACTGATACACGAAACAGCATGGATAATCCCAGATGCATCATGCAAAATGAAGGAAGCCCGACTCCAAAAGCTACATTCTGTATGATTCCATTTACATGACATTCTGGAAAAAGAAACCTGCAGGAGCAGAAAACAGACTGGTGGTTGCCAGTGGTTATGAGTTGGGGAAGAAATTGACTGTAAAAGGGCAGCATGCGAAATTTCAGGGTGGCTATTGGAACTATTCTATGTCTTGATTGTGGTGTTGTTACACAATTGTATGCATTTATTAAAATTTATAGAACTGGATGTTAAAAAGAGTAAATTTTTCTGTATGTAAATTAAAAAAAAAAAAGAAATAAAAAGCTCGTTTTGGCTGTTATTTAGAAATGCCAGAACAGAAGTAGGGAGGCCAATTAAAAGTTATTGAAATTGTTTAGGCAAGCTCTGATGGCAGCCTGAACGAGGAAAAATGGCTTATAGGACCCAGGGCACCTGCCCCTCCATTGTTCACCCAGTAAAAGGGCAATATACTCTCTGAATTGAATTAGTAAAGTTCTTTATACAGCCATTCATGGCTATAATGAAAAAAGTTAATTTTTTCTGCTTCTGCCTAATTGTTCTGTCCCCAGGTGAGCACCACCTTCAGCTTTTCTAACATCAACACTGACAAAGGGCCCCTGGAGACTCTGCATCTGCCCTGTCCTCTGCCAACATGATTAATAGCTCTGTTGGGGAAGAATTACAGGTCTCTTAGATTTGCACCCACTCATTTAAAACAATATTGTTGAGGCTCAGTGGGCTGATCAAAGTTCATATAACCCAGGCAGGCTCCACTGGAGGAGTCCTGATAAGAATGAGCATAGGCTGAACCTTTGTTTTATCACCTTTTAATGTAGGTGCAATTCAATAAGTAAAATGATACATTAACAAGAAAAAGCCTGTTTATGCCAAAACACACACACACACATACACACACACACACTCTCTACACACACACACGCACACACTACACACACCACACACACACACACACACACACACACACACACACACACACCATGCTCATAAGAAAGACTCCCTTCTAATTGCTTTGCATGGCACTGGTAATTCAAAACTTATTTAAAGAGATCTCAGCAAGTGTTAGTCTTAATGAAATGACTGAAGTCAAAATTTAAGTGCTGCTTTAAAAAGCACAATTTAGATTTCAGGCAATTTTTGAAAACCAAGTTTCCAGATTAGAGCAACCACTTGATTATCTTTTTCCCCTTCAAGCAATTAGGAGAACAAATGAAGCACTGGCTAGTTTAATGATAATCCTGATGGTTTTTGTATTTGCTAATTTTAGAGGTGAAGTGGTAGGAAAGTGTATCCAAATGAATAATCATTAAATGGAGAAGTTTTAGGAAAATGGGTTTCAGAAATGGGTAATAAGATGAGTGGTGCCTCCCCCTCCCCACCAGAGTTATGAAGAAGCATCTCAAGATAATGCAGTAGACCAGGCAACAACTTCCATAAATACTTAGGTACCTCCTATGGGTCCAGTGAGGTGCTAATTGCAGCTGATCTCTGTCCTTGGAGAGTCAACCATTGTTTCTGAATCATAGTAACTTCCTTCTCAGAAAAGGCTCCTTCCTACCCAGCAGATGCCTCTGCCACTGACCTACATCCATAAATCAAAAAGTAGGGCTGTACTTGACCACTTATCTTCTCTATCCCTGCCTCTGTCAACCCCAAAGTCCCCTGGATTCTACCTCCTGAAACGTCCCTGAACCTCCTGGTCTAATCCACAGTCATCTAACTGGGCAATGCAGGAGCATCCTGACTGGACTTTCTGCTTTTTTCTCTCTCCTCAAATCATTCCTCCCACTGCAGCCAGGACAGTCTTTAAGAAATCCAAATCTGGTCACTTCGAAAAATCTTTCAATGGCTTCTATTGGCTTTTGGGTTGAATCCACACTTCTTATGATATGACAAATGCAATGAAACCCAATGTTTCATGTGTTCCCTTATACTTCTCAGCTGACTTGAAATCAGAGCAGGCTATGTAACTGATTCAGGCTAATGGGCTGTGAGTGGGAGTGACAGGTGTCACTTCTGAGATGAGGTGTTTAGTTGCTGATACAACTCACTCTTTTTCATACATCCCTACTGTGGAAACTAGGAAGTCTACCTGTTCCAGATGATACAGCTACAAGATGCACTACACACACACACACACACACACACACACACACACACACACACATACACCACACAAGCTACAAGATGCATTATCTGGAACAGGTGGACTTCCTAGTCTGGGTTCCTGAGTGACTATGTGAGCAGAACCCCTCATCATTCTGCACTACATGGAATGTAGGTGAGGAATAATATTTTTCTTTGTTAAGCCACTTAGACTTTGATGCTGTTTATTGCCATGGCATAACCTAGCCTATCTTGACTATACAGGATGGTTTACGAAGTCCTCTGTGATCTGCCTTACATTTACTTCCCTGGCTTCACTTTTTGTTCTTCTTTTATTCTCTAAGCTCCAGCTCTGGTACTTCCTTTTTCCCCTGGCTACACTTTACCTCCTCATTCTGCAGGACTTTTGCACATGCTACCTCCATTACCTAAAATGCTCTTCCTTCTATACTTACTTTTCTGTCAGATCTTGGCATAAGTGACATTTGCTGACTTTCTGCCCAGGTAAGTTGCATATCATAACTTCCTAATAGTTTCCTCTACTTCAGTCTTTTTTTTTCTTTTTTGAGATAGGATCTTGCTCTGTTGTCCAGGATAGAGTGTAGTGGCGCAATCACAGCTCACTGCAGCCTCGACCTCCTGGGCTCAAACAATTCTCCTGCCTCAGCCTCTGGAGTAGCTGGGACCAAGTGTGGGCCATCATACCTGGCTAGTTTATAAGTTTTTTGTAGAGATGGGAGTTTCACTATGTTTCTCAAGCTGGTCTCAATCTCTTGGGCTCAAGCAAACCTCCCACCTTGGCCCCCAATGTGTTGGGGTTACAGCCATGAGCCACTACAGTGGCTTCTTCAGTCTTTACATGATTCATCATACTTGTAACTACTGGAATACTTTCTGACTTTACAGTCTCTCAGGGCAGGAACCCATGTTTGTCTTGTGTCTTTTGAACTAGGCGCAGGTCCTGGCATAGCAGGCGCTCAATGAAAAATTAGTTGAATAATTAAATATATGTTTAGGACAGGGTTACACTGAATGGTTTGCTCTTTAATTTTTTTTCCCCTTGGGAGCTTTGACTACTTTCCAAATCATTTTCCATTCATTCACTTGTTAAGCTAATGTTTTAAAAACAGAGTGCCTGTTCTGTGTTAGGTTAGCCTGTGAAGTACGACTAATACACTTATCGGATATTCAGTGAGGTAAGAGACCATTGAGGGTTTAACTACTTGCTGAAATTTTGTAGAGAAAGTGGGTTTCTATTTGAGCCTTATAAAATAAGTGAAATTTGAACAGGTAAAGAGAATTGGCTGGTGTATCTGAAAGGGGCTCCAGCAAGAGAAAAAGCATTAGGAATGAGTTTATTAGAGGCAGTAAGAAGACCAGCCTCTCTGGACCCTTCCTCCAACCCTTCCTTCGACACTGATCGAGTAGAGGAGTTACAGAGAACCCTGAGAGCTGTGCAATGCAGGTTCATTTCAGAACCTGCTTTAGCTCTTATGATTAGAAGAATTGGTCGCTTCTCCATTGCGGTCTGCTCTGTTTCAAACCCTCCAACCCCCAGGGTGGACAGCACACCTTTTACATCTTTCAAAGCTTTCCACTACTCATTTTTAATGCTTTATGCATGTTAAACACCTAATAAATGCAGTTAAACAATGAAACCTTTGTTTTTTGTGTGTGTGTGTGTGTTTTTTTTTTTTTGAGACAGAGTCTCACTCTGTCACCAGGCACCAGGCTGGAGTGTAGTGGCGCCATCTTGGCTCACTGCAACCCCCGCCTCCTGGGTTCAAGCAATTCTCCTGTCTCAGCCTCCCGAGTAGCTGGGACTACAGGTACATGCCACCACGCCCAGCTAATTTTTGTATTTCTTAGTAGAGACAGAGTTTCACTATGTTGGCCAGGATGGTCTCCATCTCTTGACCTTGTGATCCACCTGCCTCAGCCTCCCAAAGTACAGGGATTACAGGTGTGAGCCACCGCGCCTGGCGGAAACCTCTCTTTTAAATATGTAATGACTTGCTTCAAGCTAAAGTGAGGCTCATGGCTAATGAGATTAGGCATTGACCAGTTATATCATTATACTGAAGAAACAGATAACTTAGCATGTTTTCTTTCTTTTTTAAAAAAAATCTTTCTTTAAAAAACAGAAGTAATAAATATATGCTAATTTCAGAAGATGTAGAAAATACAAGTTGGCAGAAGAAAATGAAAAGCATCTAGAATCTCACCATCTAGTGATCACAGAATGTTAACATTTTGATACATACACTTCTCTAGTCCTTTATCCATTTATATAAACACACATATATTTATAAAGCTGGTTCCATATGGTCCAACTTATTTTTTTATTGTGATAAAAGACATGTAACATAAAATTTACCTTCTGAGCCATTTTTAAGTGTACAGTTCAGCAGTGTTACGTATATTCACACTGTTATGAAATACATCTTTAGAACTCTTTTATCCTGCAAATCTGAAACTGTATACCTATTAAACTTTTAAAAAGCTTAACAATGAATCCTTCCATAATATCAAATATTTTATGACATTAAATATTGTTCTCCATATATTATAGTATTCTCCATTGAGAGACACTTTTTTCATCACCACAATTTTTAAAAATGAAGTCCTTATTATTGAATATTTCGAGTAATTCTGGTTTGTCATAATTATACGTCATCACCTAATGTTATGGTGAACATTTTTGAACATTTTATATATCTATCTTTGCATACTTATTTAAATATTTTCTTACAATAAACTCTCAGATGTAGACTTGTGGACTCATAGGAGGCACACAGTTTTAATACTTTTGGTGTAAGTTTATTTTAGTTTGCATATGAGAGATTTCGCTCATTTCCCCAGACTCTTGCTAGAATTAGGTATTATTGTCTGGCATCTATTCTTTAGAGATTTTAGTTTTGAAATAAGCCTCCTATCAAATAGGAATTGTTCTCAGGCATCACTGTAGCACATGCATATTTCTGTATAAGCGTGAATCAGATGTAGACTTGATACTCACATACCTCTACAAACAAGATAGGGAAGATGCCTACTTTATCTCCTAACTTGCCTTCTGCCCAGTTCTCATCCACTCGGCTGATCACAGTGATGATATCATCCTGAAAGAGAAAGTCTCATGGTCAGCATTTACTTTCATTTTCAGGCAGTAGAAGCTTTCAGTAGAGATCAGTTTGGAGTCTCAGATGGTGTAAAGTGTGAGGAATATAGCTTGTGCTTGATTTATTTGGAAAGTCTTTTTGCTAAAATGAACTTTCTTCATAAAGGGCAGTATTTGTGTCACCGAGACTACAGGGGAGTAGAAATAATTTGGAGAATCAATAGAATCCAAATGGAAAACTTAGAAACGTTCCAATTTTTAATCACCAGAAGTGTCCAAGCTTTTCATTTAAATTTATCTGATAGAGAAATCAAGATGGAAGCCATAGGGAAAAGCACTTTTAGCTTTGCAAAAAGAAAAATGAATTTTATGCTCATTTAGAAGGCTTTTCAGAATGTTTTCAATTTTTAATGCATCAAACATAAAGCAACTTTTTGTTCAGATTTTTCTTACTACAAAAAGTTATTTGTAAATTTGTAGAAACATTTGAAAATACAGATAAGCAAAACAAGGAAAATATTATACCACAATAAAGATACAATCACTGTCAACAGCTTGAATAACACATTTTTTCTAGATTCTTTTCTATCAAGACAAACATACATATATATAAATGTACATTTTTTTTTCTTTTTTTAAGGATTTTTTTAAAAGTTTATTTTTTTATTGCATTTTAGGTTTTGGGGTACATGTGAAGAATGTGCAAGACTGTTGCATAGGTAGACATGTGGCAGTGTCATTTGCTGCCTTCCTCCCCCTCACCTATATCTGGCGTTTCTCCCCATGCCATCCCCTCCAACTCCCCACCCCCCACTGTCCCTCCCCCATTTCCCCCCAACTGACCCCAGTGTGTAGTGCTCCCCTCCCTGTGTCCATGTGTTCTCATTGTTCAACACCCACCTATGAGTGAGAACATGCGGTATTTGATTTTCTGCTCCTGTGTCAGTTTGCTGAGAATGATGGTTTCCAGGTTCATCCATGTCCCTACAAAGGACATGAACTCATTGTTTTTGATGGCTGTGTAATATTCCATGGTGTATATGTGCCATATTTTCCCTGTCCAGTCTATCTTTCCAAAAACATACACACATGCATATAATGAAGTGCGCAAATCTTGAGAAATTTTACATTTGAATATATCCATGAAATCCCTGTTCAGATGAAGATATAGAATATCTCCAGCACCCAGGAGGTTCCTTTGTACCCTTTCCCACCACGTATTAAGAGGCAACCACTACTCTGACTTCTAGTACTATACATTCATTTTGCCTGTTCCTGTACCTAACACAAATTCATTTTGCCTGTTCCTGTACCTAACACAAAAAAACGGGAAACCGTTTTTTTTTTTTTTTTTTTTTTTTTTTTTTTTTTTTTTTTTTTTTTTTTTTTTTACTTAATACCATTTTAGGAACACCTTACCATGCCCCTACAACATTCATCAAGTTCAACCTGTATATTCATCATCCACTAAAGACCTTCTGATCTCTCTGACATTATGTTCCATGCTCCTCAGGAATCAGGATTAATTCAAATCTAAATCTGTTACTGCATTATACCCTTTCTTAGCTTCCTCTTTTTTTTTTTAAATGGCAATTTATTCCTTTTTTTTTTTTTTTTAAAGATGAGGTTTCACCGTGTTGGTCAGGCTGATCTTAAACTCCCAACCTCAGGTGATCCGCCCGCCTTGGCCTCCAAAGTGCTTGGATTACAGGCGTGAGCCACCGTGCCCAGCCCTTAGCTTCCTCTTACATAGCAGTACCCAACCTTGTTGGCACCAGGGACCAGTTTCGTGAAAGAAAATTTTTCCATGGACGCAGTGAGTAGGGAGTAAGGAGAGAGGGTAGGGGGATAGGGGATGGTTTCAGGATAAAACTGCTCCACCTCAGATCATCAGGTATTCGATGCTTATAAGGAGCATGTAACTTAGATCTCTTGCATGCGCAGTTCATAATAGGGTTCATGCTCCTATGAAAATCTAATTGCTGCCACTGATCTGACATGAGGTGGAGCTCAGGCAATAATGCAACCCATGGGGAGCAGCTATAAATACAGATGAAGGTTCGCTTGCTTGTCCAGCTCACCTCCTGCTGTGCAGCCTGTTTCCTAATAGGCCACAAACTGGTACCGGTTGGTGGTCCAGGGGTTGGGGTTCCTGCTCTTACGCATTTGCAATTATGCATTTATAGGTGATTCCTTTTTTTGTTGTTGTTAGATGGAGTCTTGCTCTGTTGCCCAGGCTGAGTGCAATGGTGCAATCTTGGCTCACAGCAACCTCCGCCTCCCAGGTTCAAGCGATTCTCCTGCCTCAGTCTCCCGAGTAGCTGGGACTACAGGCATGTGCCACCACACCCGGCTAATTTTTATATTTTTAGTAGAGATGGAGTTTCGCCAGGTTGGTCAGGCTGGTCTTGAACTCCTGACCTCAAGTGATCTGCCCACCATGGCCTCCCAAAGTGTTGGGATTACAGGCATGAACCAGTGCACCCAGAGGTTATTATTTCTTTCATGTCCGTCTACCCTATCAGACCATAAACTCCATGTATGCAGGGCCTGTGTCTGCTTTGTTAATCTTTGCTGTCCCTAGCACCTAATGCAGTGGCCTCCTTTAGTTGTCGGGCAATAAATATTTCCTGAATGCATCCTTGCATAAATAAATACATGAAGTTGAATAAATTAAATAATTTACTGAGCTAGAAAGCACTAGGAAAAGAGCAACTTTGGGAAGGAGTATCTCGAGTTTAATTTGGATGTGCTGAGTTTAGACCATGAGATTTCCTAGAAGTCTCTGTACTCCACAGCCTTCCAGAATGGGTCAAATCCTCTTTTCTGGTTTCTTTATCATAATTTCCCATTTATATGTGTGTTTCTTTCACTAGATTGCCAACTCTGTGAAGGTAAGAACAATGACTCATCACTTTATCTCCAATGGCCAGCTTGGCACATGGATAGGCTCAAAAAATGAATAAGCGTGTAGAGTAAGTGTCCCAGTTTGTAAATTCCCAGATAGGGTCAGAGAGGGAGACGATGATACTCCCTGTTTATGTCTCCCTCCAGCTGTGTGTCTAATGCCTGGCACAAAATAAATACTTACTAAATATTTGTGGAATTGAACTGACCTTCCTCTAACCGTAGTCTACGTCTAAACTTTGTCGTTTGGGCTGTAGAATGACCTTCCTTAGGAGTCTCACTCTTAGGTTCCAAGGTAATAATAAACATCATTATCTCAAAATATGGAGGACAGAGAGGTTGTCTATTTGAGGAAACCTGAAGTAAATCTCCTTTCTGGTAGTGGTGAAATAAAAATATTTTACAAAACAAAAGACCTTGGCTAAACTATCGTAACAGTGCCACTTTCTATACTTATATTTGATCTACTTATCACCAGTAGTGAAGAATGAAAATAATTCCAACTGTGGTTTCTATGAGAGATGTGAATGTTTATGGAATAACGAATACTGAATACAGAGAGTTAAAGTAGTGTAGACTTTAGTAGAACTGTCATACTTACAAATGGTGGGGAATCATCTAATGAAAAACGGAGGCACAAGAAATCTTAGGGTAATTAATGTTTGAAAAATATGTCTTGTAAGAGGTTATTTATGTAGAAAGGCATGATTATGTTGTTATGTGTGTCTGCAGTGTTTTGAATGTGATGTTTACAACAAGATAGAATGTTGTAAATGAGTAGAATTAGGTAACCATAACTTAGTCAGCAAGAATACCCTTCCACATACATGATAAAGAGGTAGGGGCGTAGTTTTACATAGCATGTTATCAAATTGTTTGTGATTTTCTGTCCACGTATCTGTTCTTCCCATTACTCTGCCAGGAGAGCAAAGACTTTGACTTATTCATGTACTATTCCCAGGAGATGCAAAGAGTAAGTGCTCAAAAGTGATAGAATGAATGGATGAATGAGTGAACGAGTACATACTTTTGTAATTACAGTAAAAAAGGCTCACAGATTTCTATCACTTATTTGTAGATTTCTGCAGAGATTTCACTTGCATGTAGTTTGAATTGTACACACATATTACATATATAATTTATGCATAAAATATAATTTATGCATAAAATATATTTTATGCATAAAAGAATAAATATAAATAATAATATATTTAATATATAATTTTTTAAAATCAGCAAATGTTAAACAAGCAACTCTGGTTCTGCTATGGTCTCTATGTGGTCCCAGATGACTCTGGTGGCCACCCAGAATCCTACCTTGAGGAAGGTGAGGCAATCCTGGTTCTCACTCTTGTCCTTGCCTCGTAGGTCGAAGTTGTAGAGGGCCCTGCAGAGTGGGGGTGGCTGGGGCAGCTGCTTGATGACTTCCACAGAGCTGGCTGGGAAGATCCCACTGATGCCGTTGATTTCCCCCTGGTACCAATTCTCATCAAGCTGTCTCCGGAGAAGAATGACATCTCCCTTATTAAACCTTAGGTCACCAGGATTCTGCCCTCTGTAGTTGCATAAGGCCTTTGCTCGAGGCACCTACAATGGCACAGACCAATAAAATACACACTTAGCTCAAATATCTACTTAGCTTAGAGTCTGGAGGAACAGAAGATACAAGCATTCCTCCTTTTATTATACTTTGCTTTGGCATGCTTTGCAAATATTGAGTTTTTTACAAATCAAAATTTATGGCGACCTGTGCTGAATAAGTCTATTGCTGCAATTTTTCCAACACCACGTGTTGATTTTGTGTCTCTGTGTCATATTTTGGTAACTGTTATTAACTTTAAATATGTTAACCTTTTTCATTATTATTATATCTGCTATGGTGATCTGTAATCAGTGATCTTTGATGTTATTATTGTAATGCCTGGGTTGGGGGGTGGGTGCCACAAACTGCCCGTACAAGACAGCAAACTTTGTCAATAAATGTTGGTGTTCTGATTGCTCCACCAACTGGCCATTCTCCCATCTCACTCCCTCTCCTTGGGCCTCCCTATTCTCTGAGACACAAAAATACTAAAATGATGCCAATTAATAACCCTACAACTCTCACTTTAAATCAAAAGCTAGAAATGATTAATCTTAGTGAGGAAGGCATGACTGAAGCTGAGATAGGCCAAAATCTATGCCTCTTGTGACAAACAGCCAAGTTGTGAATGCAAAAGAAAAGTTCTTGAAGGAAATTAGAAATGCTACCGCAGTGAACACATAAATGATAAGAAAGTGAAACAACCTTATTGCTAATATGGAGAAAGTTTGACTTGTTTGGGTAGAAGATCAAACCAGCCACAACATACCCTTAAGTCAAAGCCTAATTCAGATCAAGATCTTAATTTTCTTTAATTCTGTGAAGGCCGAGAGAGGTGTGGAAGCTGCAGAAGAAAAGTTTGAAGCTAGCTGAGATTGTTTGAGGTTAAAGAAAAGAAGCTGTCTCTATAACTTAAAAATGCAAGGTGAAGCCACAAACCATCAATATTGAGGCAAGACCCACCACCAGCAAGAAGATGGCTCAAATCATCATTAACTTTTTTGTTAGTAATAAAGTATTTTAAATTGTTAGGTATATATTTTTTAGGCATAATGCTATTGCACACTTAATAGACTACAGTGTAAACAACTTTTATATGCACTGGGAAATAAAAAAATTTGTTTGACTTGCTTTATTATGGTATTAGCATTATTGTAGTGGTCTGAAACTGAACCTGCACTATCTCTGGGGTATACCTGCATAATATTTTTTCCCATAAAACACGGATATTTTATTCCAGCTATAGGACAGGGAAAACAAAACAAAACAGCAACAACAACAACAACAAAAACCAGAGGGAAACACATCTTGCCACACACCATTCTAATTTAACTGACATTAATTTGGGAAAGGTAGAGCAGAAATACATTTATACATATAAATATGTATGTCTTTATACATACATAGATGCATTTTCAGATTTTAGTCTCACTGGAGTTCATATCCTCATTTTTAAAAAAATAAATGCCCTTAAAGGTCATCAAATGCAAGCTAATATTTCTACCTATGTCTCCTCATCAATCATTTAATATTGTTCGGATTGCATTCAGAGTTTGTGTGTTAACCACTTACATAATTTATCGAATTGCACGTTTGGAGAGGTAAGGGAAAAACTTGCTTTAAGTAATACTCTATGTATCAGTTACCCATGATGTGATTTATTTTCATCATTATTTGAAACTTCGCACATCTTGTAGTTTCCTATGTAGTCTCTCTATGCAGTCTACTTCAGCTTCTAGTGCTATACGTATCTATGTCTTCTGGGTATGACTGCCCGTGTTCCATGAGCTTGAGGTCAGGCATTATCTGTGTAGCACCCGAGGTGGATTCTGACTTGGTCTTTGCTTCAGAGCTGAGTTCTGTTGGCAAGGGCACTGAGTGTTTTGAGACGTGAGGTATTTTGGCAGGCACTTCTATTTCGGCAGAGGATCGTAGCTTAGTTTTTTCTTTAAGTTTAGGGAGTGACTCTTTCATGCTGTTTTTTATCGACAATGATTTAACTACTCTAAAAATCTGCTGGCTTGTAGCATATACCTTTTCCCTGTTACCTTAGCAATTATTACTGACTGAACTGGGTAGCAAACAGTTGCTCCTAAAGTGGCCAGTCCTAGAGGATAAGTAATTTTCTTAAACTTAGAACTTTTTCTTGCTGAAACCAAGCCCCTTTGAAACCGTAATAACTCCCATTTTTGGAAGAAAATCCCGAGGAGGATTTTTCATATAAACATAAGCATCTTTTCCAAATTGTACTGTATCCATTATCCCATTTTTCACAAAGACATAAACACCGTTGCACCAGCCAATACAATGACCAGTTGCAGTGCGGATGGAAGCAAAGCCCATTTGTAAATGACCAGGCTGCTCTTCAACATATTTAGAATGGAGTGGCAGTGCAGCATATATGGAGAGCTACTCTGGTTTTTCACTAGCTGCTTTTTGGATTCCTCTTCTTTGGCTGCATGTACACTTACAGATGCATATATCAGACCTGCAGGCATGGTTGTCAGTTTTCCCATCTACTAGCAGGGTGAAAATCCAAAACACTGACAATGGTAAATGCTGGGGTGAACGAAGAGCAACAGGAAGTCTCATTCATTGCTGGGTGATGAAATAATCTGCACAACAAATGCCCATGCTACGAGTTTACCTGTGTAACATACCTTTACAGGTATACCTGAACCCTGATGGCCACCATGTCTACGACCCTTTCGGCCAAGGTTTTCAGACGGCACCTGCATAATATTAATAACTAATTACTGAGCACTTCCTATGTGCTAAGTGTGTATGTGGATCATCTCGTTTATGTAGCCCTTAGAGTTAGACACTCATTATCTTCATTTATAAGACAAGATGACAGAGACATAGAGTGATTTATTAACTTGCATAAGATGACACAGCTGAGAAATGGCAGATATGGGACATGAACTCAGACTACCTGATGCTAGAGCCCTTTTTCTTAATGACTATGCCAGCAACAGGGTTGGGAACTCGACTCCACATCTATGAGAGTGGAATCAGTGACTCTGGGTCTGAATACCAATTTTGAATTATGGCTCCACTTCTTTCCATTTGTGTAATCATGGCCAAGTTACTCAGTCTTTCCTAAACCGTATTCATTTATAAAATGAGCATTTGGATCATTAGGAAGCCCAACTGACACAAAGAAACAATTAGTCAGAGATCGATCATCAGTTTAAAAAAAAAAATCAGCTCAAGCATAATCATTTGTCAAATCAGTTGTCTAAATAATTATTTCAGTCAGATACAATTTTACTAATTAAAATTGGGTTTTTTTCCACATAGAAATGGCTTTACTCCAGTCTTGCTTGAAGTCAGCTTGACAAACTGCAAGTTCTAACAGATTATGTTTAAGAGGAAGTGCTTCAGTCACCTAGGGTCATATTTTATTTTGTGATTTTCCATGCAGTGGGATTATGTAATCCCCTCTCATTGTAGCAGTCTTGCTAGTCATATAATGGGTATAGAGAGGCATTAATTTAGGTCTTCATGGATCTCCTGAATCTGCAATGTTCATTTGAAAAAAAAAAATTCCAAGCAGATCAGAAGTAGAGACAGGACCTAACATTACTTTGCTGATGGAATGATTGAGCTGTCCTTTCCTGCTGGTCTGCACATAGAGTAAGGAGATCCCAGGGGTGAGAAAACCACAGAAATACAGCTCATACCCAGGAAACTGGTGGACAAATGAGCAAAGATGTATGTACTAGGGGGTTTAAAAAATACTGTGAAATAAACAAGGAATTGCTTGAATAAATTATTACATAACCATACAATGAAAAACTTTACAGTCATTAAAATTGATGATGTATCAATCTATCTATATTAATAACATTGAGTGTTACTGATAATATACCATTAAGTGTAACAGAATGAGTTAAGAACAATTATGTAGACTACATTTTCATTATAAATACACATGTATATTTTCACCTGGGGAAAATGCTAGATGACTATAGGGCAATATTTTAGAAGTGGTTATTGCTAAGTGGCATGATTTTTGAATATTGTAAAAACACTTTATTCCTAAGTGCCTAGCTGTGTTTTCCAACTTTTCTAAAATAAAATAATTGTATTGCTTATTAAAATTGGACAGTCAAAAGAAAATGAATGACGTTGGTAGATGAGGGGTAAAAAGTGTAAGAGGAATTTAGAAAGAATGAAGGCCATGCTGAGTAGGATAAGCAAACTATGCAACTGCCTTTTTTAGAGAAGGTGCTCCCTATCTGAGCAATAAGCAGGTAAAAGCTGGATGAGAATGGATTTCTGGGGCATGACTCAAATCTGTTAGACTTCTAGGGTTGAGTACATCAGGGAACAATAGTTGTCCCTCCATATTTCTTTCTCTCAATTTTCCATTGTAATACTAATCACATTTTTATGGGTGCATGACTACCTGGAATATTGGTCACATTTTCAGCCTCTCTGGTGATTAAGTCCAGGCCAGTGTGGATGTAAGCAACCTTTTGGAATAAAACTTCCTGATTAAGAAACCTTTAGGAAAACAAAACTTTGGAGTTTTCTTTTCCTCTCCTCTCTCTTGCTATGTGGAATGCAGACATGACCCCTAGAGCTCTAGCTGCCATCTTGAATATTGAGGACAGGGGCTACACCTAATAGGGAGGAAAGAAGCCTGGGTTTCAGAGCTGCTGCACCCATCCTGGATTTTTGTCTGAGAGCTAAATAAATTTCTACCTTGCTGAATGCATTGTGGGTTTTCTTTTTTTATTTTTTGATTTATGGAAAAAAAATCAGAAAAGAGAAAAGGAAAGAAAGGAAGAAGAAAAAGATAAAGAAGAAAAAAATCCAAGTCCCTTTGGCTTTGCATGATAATGATAATATCAATAGCTAACCTTTACTGAATGGTTCTTCCTTGCGCCAGATTCCTTGCTAAGTGCTCTAATTCTCTTTGCTAACCACTCTCTAATTCTCACAACAACCTTTGATGTGTGTATTATTTCAAGTGTCAATTTTCAGATAAAAAAAT